TAACCTGGGGTTAATTTCATCATAGATGACCAGAGCACCTTAACTGTCTCTCTAATTCCTAGAAAAGAAGCCCAGTCAAGTGCTTGAGAAAGCCCCAAGGGGGATCTTGCTATGTTGCCTGCATCAGGGGCAATGAGAATACTGTGACAAAGACACACTGATGTGTTGTGCACTGCCTCGGATATGCTGGCAGGCTCAGGAAACCCACGTTGGGGGAATCCCATAGAGATCTGACTTCATGCAGAGAAGGCAGCTAAGCTTTGAGAACAGCCCTGGTGGTGGTGGTGGAGGGGGAACAGCATGCCCCATATCCTGCTCACCCTTTGCCCCTGCCTCCTCCTCCAGCTACAGCACTGGATTTCTGTTTAATGCAGACATGCTCCTTAAGTAAGAAATGCTGCCTGTGAGTAATGCCAGCAGTTTCTTGCTGCTTTTGGAGAGTCTTGCCTGAGTGTTTGGTCTCCTTTCTAAGGGAGAGCTAGGTAGCAAGTCTGGGGAAGATTGCTGGGCATTGCAGAGTGTGCAGCAAGTTCTCTTACAATGGTGGCTCTGCTGGTGTGCTTCCAAGAAGTACGGACCCTATATACCAGGACCCTCACTGAGTACACTATACTTCTAAGCAGAATGACATATCTTGGTTTAGCTCAATAGTCTACAATCCCAGTGAAGCTGACCAATATTTGCTTACCAAAGCCTAAAGCACGGCTCTGCTCTCTGACTCACACATCATTCCCTCTGCTCTGTTCATCTGCCAGATTCTAGGAAGATGGTTGATGGGATTTACGTGGGATCTAAGCAAAAGGCATGGATCTGGGAGGGCAGGGACATCTTGCAGGGTTTTTGTATAATAATAAAAAGACCCCGAATTCTAAGCCAGTGGACAAGGAATTAGAAAATAATAGCGCTGCCACTTAGTACTCAGCATGCTGCCATAATGCTCATTTATAAAACAGGAGAACCAAGCTCTGCCTCACAGGGCTGGTGTCTGGATTAACTCAAGTAAACGTGTCCTAGTCAGCACCTTGGTTTCATAAATATCAGCTTCTTTTCACTACCTCTTTCTCACCTGGGAAAGTGTTTTGTGAACCAGAACGTTCTAGAATGTATAGCTTACTTGTGATAAGACAGGTACATTTTGGAGTTGGACCCAGGTGAGAATCTCTCTTTATAAGTTGTTTGCCTCAAGCAAGTTATACAGCCTCTCTTGGCTGCCATTTCTCACCTGTGGAGTGAGTACAACAATCTCTGCTTCATTAAGAGGATTAAAACAGAGTAAATTACTTGGCAAACAGGTATGTTCCCATTGATCATCTTTCGGTGTTTGAAAGAGCTCTTGGAATACATACTGGACTGGCTCCCCTCTTTGCCCATTTTGGGGTAGCCCCTGGAACTTTGGGGAGGAAACTAAATTGGAGGAGTCAGCATTGACCTAAGTCTGCTCAGAAGCTCAGGGACAGGAGAAGCTGTGGAAAGGATAAACAGAACCACAGGTCACTGGAGCAGCTCTCCAGGGATATACACCAGTTTGAGGAGAAAGAGTATAAAGACAGTGTGGCTTTTTCCTATTCCTTATTCCCTGCCCTTGGTTCCTTGACCCCCAGGTCAGTCTTTCAGAACAGTTTGAAAGATGTCTAAAAAGAAAGAGGGAAGCAAGCAGGACGTGACCTAGTGACCTGGGCAGAGGACAGGGCAGAAATAATAAGGCCACATTCCCAATATGCCAAGACTTAAAAGGGAAAGCAAGACTAAGCTGAGGATCTAAGGCTGAGGTAGCTGCTATTCCCACCCTGGCCCTCTCTGCCCCCACCTAAAGGTAGAATCATTACCAAAGGCAGTTGCCCCACCCCACCCCAGTGCCCTAGCCTCTTAAAACAATGAAAGGAGATTCCAGGCATTTCAGGTACCCAGTCTCCTACTGGGGAGGAAGATGGTTACAGCACTCTGGATGCTGGGCTCCCCAGGCCCAGGGTGACCCACTGCCTACTGCTGGGACATCTCTCAAATTTCCTGTCTGAACTTTGGACCAGCCCTGATCTTTTCCTTATTCCTCTGCCCTTTCTCCCCGCATCTGGCAGTTTCTCTGCAACAGCTTGCTCCCATGGGGTGATGGGCACCCCCAGAGTGTCGCTTCTGCCTTTCAGAACCAGTGAACCCAGGTGAGAAATGGAGGAGGAAAAGAAGACAACTTACTTGTTGAGATCGGAGCTTCCAAGTCCCACTGATGCTAACTTCTGGGATGTCCCTTAAGGCTGCGCAGGAGGCTTTCAGAGCTTTTGAGGCGACTCTCCAGCCCCAGCCATTACCCCACCGAGTAGCTGCAGCCTAGAGCCTCTCCCTTGTTGTGGGTCTTGTGGGCAGAGGCAGAGGCATCTAAATCATCCTCTCTCTGTGTCTTCACTCGCCAGCCTCTTCAGTCACTCCCTTCTAATAGCAAGAGAGCGCAGCCAGAGGCGCTCGCTCTCTTCCTCTTTCCCTGCCTCCCTCCCCTCTCTCCTCCCTCCTGTCTCCCAGGGTTCTCCTCCCTCTCCCCCCAGCACAAATGAATCTCCGGATAATAACGAGATTTAAAGGGCCACGGGCAAAGGCCGCAGAGGGCGGGTAAGGTGGGGATGGGGCGGGCGCGGCTCGCAAAGAAGAGGAAAGCAGAGAGAGGCAGGCCGGCAGGCAGGCCGCCTCTCTCTTCCCCGCTGTCCACTGTCGCTCCTGTCTGCGCTATCATCCTGCTACATCCCGGCAGGTGGAACTAGAGTGCTTTGGGTCGCCCAGGCAGGTGTAAGGATCAGTGACCCGGGTGCGCGGGTGTCTCAGCGCCCCATGCATGTGTGGAAACGCCCCCGTGTGTGAACGTCCACGTGTGCGCGCGTGTACATGTGTGAGCACCTGCGTGCGCGCGCGTGGGTGCACGTGCGTGAGCATCTGTGTTCATGTGGTTTAGTGGGTGCGGTAGAGCAGACAGAAAAAATTCAGGGCTGAAAAACCTTAGCTCAAAGCCTTGAAGGGGCAACTCCGTCGCTGCGGTGCGTCGAGGGGGCGGTTGGCAGTATTTTGGTGCCTTTCCTGAGATGCAACGCCACAGGTGGAGACTTTCCTTTGGAAAGTCGGGAACTACTGTCTGGGCTCCACATTCACACGCAGATAGTTGTTGCTTCTGTGGCTGGGGTCAGGGTCTTGGGACCTGATCCACTGGCTGAGGGTGAAGGTCCAGAGACAGGGAACAGGTATGTGGTCTCCTCCCCCACCCACCCTACAGCACAAATGTCTTGTGACTGGTGGGTAGAAATGTCAGGGAAAGGAGTTAGTGGAAGCAGAATGTGTTCCTAGGCACTGGCAGGGCCTCCTCACCACCTCCCTGCCCTCCCTTTTGGATTCCTTCTGTCCTTGAGGAAAGATGATTGCATGAATCTATTTGATTCCTGTGAGACGCAGGAAAAGCAGGTGCAGACATCACCCTGCAAAGGGAGGGCTACTGTCTGTGATCTGGTCCCTTCAAGGTAGCCTTTCTTACCTTTGCTCCTTGTCTTAGCTGTTACCCAGTCTTTTTGAGTTTAATAACCCCCTTCCAGGACCTGTGTATGTTTCCCCCCCTCAGTGACAGACACATCTAGCTCCAATGTACTGTATCTCCAGCACCTAGGCCCAGTGGGTGGATATTTATCATGTGAATGAAGACTACCAGGAAACTGGTTTATTCAATTGCAATGAGAAAAATGCTTGTCACTGGGATTAGAGTGCACTGACTCTATCCTTGCTATGGAGACTAGCATCCACAGCCCACTGCCCTGTCCCTATCCAGGGAACAGTGCTCAGAGTAGTCCCCTGGACACACTCCTTTTCTATCTGTAGAGAGCCTGATCATTCAGTGTGGCTGCAATAGGCTCTGACTAAACTAGGAAATCTCTGTCTTGGTGCTCATTCATTGCATGCTGGTGGATCTTATGGTTTAACAGAAAGTATTTAATTTTTTCATTTCCTAGTTCTTGGCAAAGGCTTTAACTATGTAGCTCTGAGGTCTGGATAACACACTCAAAGCATTAACTGAGTCTGGAAGGGGTGCTCTGTTCTGGAGCAGCAATGGCCTTTGGATTGAGTATAAAGACCATGATGTTCCTTCTGCCCTATGGGAGAGCTTGACTCATTTTACAGTGAAGCACAGGATGGTCTGGAAAATACTGCTTTACGAATAGTCTCTCTGTGATTTGACCTTGGACTGAGAAAAAAAAAAAATCAATATCCAGTTCTCCGCCCAAACCTGAAAGATGAGAAGTAAGAGTATTGTAGTGACTGGTTGTTGCAAACTTAGGGTAGCCTGGTCTTTTCCATCCCATGTTTTCAAAGAGTACAAATGACATTTGACAGTAGGTGACACAATTTCAGAACAACTCAGGGAGATTTGGAAGGTGCTAAGTGTATTTTCATTGGCTGAAAATTGATGAGGAGATGCTATAAAGCAACAGAGAATTTATGTGTCTTATCACTGTTAATTAGAGTGCAAACCCATCTCCTCTGTCCCCTTTTATCTGCTTCTTTTACCTTCTTTCATGGAGTAGGAGATGAATTCACAATTAAAGTTTTCTCTTTAGAACATGACACTTACAGGAAATTATTTTTTGTCCTATTTATAGAAATTCCATTTGCATTTATGAGGTTGGTAATGTCTCATAAATATTTCCTGCCAGATAAAATATTAATTAAAAGAGTTTGTTCAGTTATACTCTGAAATTCTAACTAAATCTCTTCTAAGACAAACATTTAAAATTAATTCTTCTCATTGTCAGGAGAATTTCTCATACATTACTTGTGTAGGTTAATAAACTTATCTAGAAACAGATATCCATCAATTTGTGAAATATACATTCTCAATATTTAACAAATCGTCATGTGTCTAGGACCCAGTAATAAAACATTGCAAAACCATTGAATTCTCTCTGAATTACCTCTTTGGATCCCTGGGGAAAGAAGTGACAGTCTGAACTTGATGTTTCTGTTTGCTAAGGTTCCTTTATACTAAAACTGCACACGCACTGCATGCACGCGCACACACACACACACACCCCTATTCAATCAGTGAACATTGACTACATACATAGTAGCCCCCCCCCCACCTACTGTTGTACTTTTCTGTTTCATTTACCTGTAGTTAGCTGTGGCCTGAAAATATCAAATGGAAATTTCAGAAATAGGCAGTTCTTAAGTTTTATATTGTGTGTCATTCTGAGTACATGATGAAATTTTGCCCCATCCCAGCACATGAATCATCCCTCTGTCCAGTGTATCCACACTATATATGCTACCTACCCATTACTGACTTAGTAGCTATCTAGGTTAACAAATTGATTATAGTTTCTCATTGCTCATGTTCTGGTAATCCATATTTTATTTCTGTTTGGTCAGTTTTTTCACTGCCGTGACTCAAATATCCAACCAGAACAATTATAGAGGAGGAAAAGTTTATCTGGGTCCTCACAGTTTCTGTGGTCTCTATCCATAGACAGTGGCTTCATTCTTCAGGACTCCAGGTGAGGCAGGAACAACATGATTGTGGCAGAGGGAGCAGCTCACATGATGATCAGAAGCAGAGAGAGACTCTACTCTCCAGATACAAAATATATACCACATAACCACACCTCTAATGAACCACTTCCTCCAGCCACACCCCACCCGCCTCTACTTACCACCCAGTTAATCCCATCAGGGACCGATTCACTGATTAGGTTAAGGCTCTAACCCAATCATTTCTCCTTCAAACCTTTTTGCATTGTCTCACATATGAGTTTTAAGGGACACCACATCTAAACCATAACAATTTTGTAATAGTTTCAAAACATAAGAGTCATGGCAGCTATTCAGAAATAACGTAAAGGAAACTGCAAAGTGCTTCTTTTAGCTGAGAAGATGAAAGTTCACAATTTAATAAAGAAAGAAAACATACCATATCATGGTGGCTATGGTCTACAGAAAAAAGGAAACTTCTATCTATTAAATTGTGAACAAGGAACAAGAAATCTGTGCTAGTTTTGCTGTCACAACTCAAACTACAAAAGTTATTGCCCCATTTTGTGGGGAATGCTTGGTTAAGATGCAAAAGGCATTACATTTGGGTATGTATGTGTAGGAAAAAACATAGTCTATGTGAGGTTTGACACTCTCCTGATGTTAGACATTCACTGGGAGTTTTGGAACTTCTCCCCCACAGTCAAGGGAAGACAACTGTACATATTTTATATTTGCTTACTTTTTGGGTTGATTAAGGCCTGCTATGTTCGAGACACTTCCACAGTTGCAATAAGAGAATCTAAAAAGCATAATGGTGGACTTTGATAAAAAATGCCTCTCATCTAATAGGGAAGGTCAGCATATATGCAGGAAAATTAGCAGATACATTAACAGTATGGGATTTTAATTCCTGGGTGATATTTGGGTAATGATATTGAATCCACAGGAATGCTAACAAGTTTGGAGAGAAGAAGAGCCCAGGGCGGCCTCTGGCCGTCAGGCTACATGAGAGAAATGAACTGGAAGGGCAGCCAGGATTTGCATATAAAGACAACAGCAAGGGTATGAACCAGGGTTGGGCTAGTCAAGGCTCCCCATGTTGGAGGACCAGAAGTAAGAGAGCGATTGTGTCTGGGGGTCTAGGGAAGATAGAGTGATTGATGACAGTGGCTATAATTAGTTGAGTGCCTACTATGCGTAGGCTACTGGAAGTGCCTACGATCTCTGCTAGGTGCTTCACAGGAGTAATTGCTTATAATTTTCTTAACAAGTTCATGAGGAAACAGGCTCAGACAAGTGAAATAGCCTTTCATTGGCAGTTATTAATAGCGAATTTCAGAGCTTTTATCAGATCTCAATTTTATTAGATTCTAAAATCCTCTTTCAAATGGTTAGAGGCTGCATTGTGTTCCTCCCAAATTCATGTGTTGAAATCCTAATCCCCAGTGCCTCCGCATATGACTGTATTTGGAGATGGCCTCTAAAGAGTTAATTAAATTGAAACCATTAGGATAAACCCTCATTCAATTAGATCCATGACCTTATAAGAAGAGGACATTTGGATACAAGGAGACATCAGGGACACTCAGGCGTAAAAGAAAGATCATGCAATGGTCCTGTGCAAGCCAAGGAGAGAGGCCTCAGGAGAGCCCAGACCCATCAACACTTTGATCCTGGACTTGCAGCCTCAAGACAGTGAGAAATAAATTTCTGTCGTTTAAGCACCTTGTCTGTGATACAGTATTTAGCTATGGAACTCCTAGTAAACTGATATTATGTCTCTCAGAAGGGGCTTGTATCCCAAGCTATGGAATTTGGACTTTATTCTGCAGGTGGGAAGTACTTATTGTAGATTTGGTGAGACTTCCATGGGAGTGGTTTATATATTTTTTTATTCATCTACCCATTCTAGTGATTAATTACAGAGTGGCTGTTTGTGACCTCCATGACTGCAGGGATCATATTTGTCACATTCACCTCTGAGCACCACTTGCTCCCAGTGCCAAGCACAGCATCTGGTGTATAGTAGATGATTAACACATATTGTTGAATGGAAGAAAGAATGTAGGCTACATACCAGGGATGAAAAAAATGATAAGGCAATGCAGAGTTTGTTTCCTAGGACTTCACAGTCTGGTGAAGATGGTAGTCGGTGTACAACTAGTTCCACAAAGGAATATGCCTATGGTGGGGTGGAGATTATCAAGCAGTGCCCTGCTACAGAGCTTTACAAAGAAAGAGATTGTCTATAACTGTTCTATATTATATGGCACTGTGACTGTCGAACATGTGAAATGTGGCTACTGTGATGAAGAAATGGAATTTAAATTTTAATTTCAAAAGGTGCCATGGCTGGTGGCAATCATATAGCACATCCAGGCTCGGAGGCAGGGAGAATGTTGGTTGACTGGGTGCTGGTCTTGGTCTGAGGTGATAGGGGTGTAAGAAGAGCACAGGAACAAAGAACCTAATGAGGTACATTGTCCTACACAGTTTGGCAGCAATAACACCACCCCCTGGGAGTGTGTAAGAAATGCAGTCTCCCAGGCTCCACCCTCTCTGCCTGTTCAAAGAAAATCTTCATTTTAATAAGATTCTCAAGGGACACGTATGCACACTGGGGCTTGGGTGAGTGCAGTATAAAAGGCACAGCTGAGAAAGAATCAATAGAACCAAGTGTCTGATAGCATCCAGGGATCAAAAGAGCAGAGGAATAAAACTAGACAACTTGGATCTGAACTGGACTAAGCTACCCTGAATCTTCAGGGATCCAGAGCTCTCCTTCCTTTGGGGATAGCGTGTCCCTTCGGCTTTCCTCCATTAGAGCTCTGACCACATGTGATGGGATTTCTATGGCCTGTCTCTTACCAGCCACCTACAAATTCCTTGAGAGTGAGGATCTGGGCTTTTAAAATCCCTGTACTCCCAGTGTCTGGCATCCTGCTTTTTGGTTAGCAGATGTGTCCAGAATGCATGCATTCTCATGACAAGAATCAGAAAGCCAGGCGGAGTAAGTAGGTGGTGGAAAGGGAGAGCTGCAGAGTTTAGTTTTAGATGGGTAGCATACTAGCTGAAGGCTGGGGGAGGCCCTAAGTTAATTGTATGAGAAGAGTCAGGGATGGAGTTGAGGGAGCTGGGAACAGAGAGGTAGACTTTGGGATGTCATCTGTACAGAGAGAAGACAGAAACTCTGAGAATAGTTTAGATACCTGGAGAAGGGTGGAGAGGAAAGGGGTAAGAAGGTACTGGGGGTCATGCTCATGTCCTGCACAATGGAGAAGGAGGAGGATGTGGAATGGGAGACAGAGAAATAAATGGTCAATATGGCCAGAGGATCCTCAACCAGGGTGGCAACAACATGTGGAATGGACATCAACAGTCAGTGTACCAGATTCATTCATTAATAATAGATTTATTTTGTAGTATTTAGCTCATGAAACCTTGTACTCAGTACAGCAGGGGGCCAGATTATGAAGCCATAGATCCAAAAAAAATCAAGGAAAAATGGGCCAAGGAGGGGCAGGAGGACTCCACCTTTGATCATGCTGGCAAGTTGTCATAACTTACTTCCTAGGATGTGTTAAATATATCTCATATTCATCTTAAAAGAAAAATAAACGTGCTGTCTGGAAAAGCAGCCGATATTCGGTTCTGGGCTTCTTCCAGTGGATAAAACTTCCCCTTGTCACTTCAGGATCCAAGTGCGGTTTTTCATTGAAATTCATTGAATTTGGACTGAAACACCAATGGTAGCTTCGCCTTTCCTAAAACAAGCTTCCTCTTTCTGGATTTCCTTTCATTCACGAGCCCAGGGCATGTGCCAGAGAGATATTTTTTCATAATTGGCTGAACATTTGATTTTAATTGAACCGACAAAGGTGCTCCTAAGGGGCGGAGCCTCCACAGCGCCAAGACTCTGGTCACCGTCCAACTGCCTTGAGCTTTCTTACTGCACTTCTAAGAATAAATATTTTTCTTTCAATTCAGCAAAGGGAGATGCTATTGGGAAAGAAAATAAAATTCCTTCATAACTCTATTGATAGGAATCTCAATTCGGTCTGGTGAAACCTCCATGCAAATGCTGATTAGGAAACACAGGGTCCTTTTCTGGTGGTGTTTCCACAAGGGGCCGTTTGCGCCATCTCGTGGTCGGAAAAGATTCTACACTAGGTAGAAAGCCTATATTCTCCATTCTTTCGTGTTCTTTGGTTTTTATGAAAGTAATACGTGCATGTATTTGAAGCATCACGTTGTTATAAGTAGTTTGAAATGAAAAGAGTCAGGCCTCTTCTTCAATCTCCCAGTCTCCAGAGGCCACCTCTTTCCTTTGGCCACTGGTTCCCCCGGGTTTTGCTGCATATCTCTAACCAACACACAGTAATTCTACGTACTTCCATTTTAAGGCCTATTACTTTTTCATTATCGAAGGTGGAAGCTTAGCTCTCTTTTCTCCCTGGTTCTCCCGACCACACACCTGTGCCCTTCGACGTTCTCCTTCTGCACTGGAATTATTTCACAATGTTGGTTGAGTACTCAGTTTGAATATTATCAATGTCCATAAAATTCTATTCATCGCTGAGCCACGCAGAAAACTCTCATTTTTCTTATCCTTTAGCTTCTATTTTCATCTCTTTGTATTTTTGCTCCATGTCTCAACTCTCTCATCCAACGCTTTCCTTTGAGATTTTTGTTTTTGCCATCATATTTTAACTTCCAACAACTTTCCATTTTTTATTGTCAGGAAGTTCTTTTTTTTTTTTTTAAGTAGGATCCTTTCTATTTGAAGTTTTTGTTTTTTTCTTCCTTGAACAGATTCTGTTTCCCCCAAGATTTTTTTTTTGTGTGTGTGTGTGTGTGTGAGTTTGTTTTTTGTTCTGATTTTCCTCAGTTATCTAGTAACTTAGTAAGAGGAAGCTCTGGGCCTATAGAAGGGACCTGACACCTGTCAGGCTCCCTGGAGGATGCTCTGACTGAGCCAGTTCATCACAGGACCTCTTGATGCTGGACCTCCTTGATGTTGGACCTCTTGATGTTGGATTCCTCAGGTACAGCTCTTTTGATCTCCTCCCTCTTCAATAGGTAGACAGTGCCACAGACATCTGTATCTTTGGGGATTCTGAAGGGTTAGTGGTGCTTTTTTTTTTTCCTGAATGGTATAGTTGGACCTGGAATGTCTCCAAAGGCCCATATGTTAAAGGGTTCATCCCCAGCTTGATGCTTCTGGGAGTTAGTGCAAGTTTTAAGAGATGGGGTCTAGCAGGAGGTCTTCATGTTTTGGGGGTATGCCCTTGAAGGGGACTATGGGACCTCACCCTGCTTTCTCCTCCTCTCTTTTGCTTCCTGGCCATGAGGTAAATGGCTTTACCCTGTCATGTGCCTTTACCATGATGTACTGCCTCATCCCAGGCTCCAAAACCACAGGGCCAATTTATCATGGACTGGAACCTCCAAAACTGTTAGCCAAAATAAACCTTTTATCTTGACAAGTTTATTATCTCAGGCATGTGTTATAGTGATGGAAAGTAGAATGTTATATGTTTTTAAAAATGTCATTGTCAGCTCTCCAGACCTTTTTATCCTTGAAGGTTAATGCATTTTTACAGCTGCCATTTTATTGGAATTTCAGATGAGAGTGAAAGTAGAAGCATTTCTTTTATTTACCATTTTTACGCTGAAGCCATTTATTCATTTTTAAATTGTCCATCCTACAAACATTTGTTGACCCCCTATTACGTAGTAGGCTTTTGGGTAGATTCTGAACCTGCAGTGATGAATAATTTCACACCCTGCCCCGACAAGGGTGCCTACCCCATGCAGTATTAGACAAATAAATAGTTATATTAGCTCATCTAGAGTGGTGACACAGTTAATGGTGATTGATGACCATCTCCATAGGGGTCAAGTTGGCCGTTTGCTCCAAAAGATGACTTAACTTGAGTATTTACTAAGGTCTCCTTGCAAGTTCAGACACCTGATTTCCAGTGCAGCCATCTCCTGAGAATGCCCACCTCCACCAATTACAGTCTAGCTTCCTGGTGTCTAGATGAAAATGCAAATTCATTAACTAATGCATAGTAAGCGCCCTTATTGTGCCAGAGCTAAAATACTCATGATTGCTTTCTGTGCACATCTCCCCCTGCAGGGGAAGAGTTCAATGGGAAGTCAAATCATGATTGAAACATTGCTGGGTGTACCTGGAATCCATCAAGTGTGTGAATCGTAGATAAATGAGTAGTTATTGGTCTTGGCTGTTGAGCAAGGAGGAAGGTGGTGTTAGACTGACTGGAATGTTGAAGTCTGCTGAGTGGAGGCTTGCCCTTTCCTGGAAAGTGCCTGATTCACAGCAGATCCTGGGCCTTTCTTTCTTTTATTTTATTTTTCCTTCAGATGCATCAGTTTGCTCTTTGTACCAGGACACAAAAAGGGAGGCTTTTCCTGGAAGGAGTTCAGATTCTCTACTTTGGCTTTTCATCACTGAGACCAACAAAACATGAAAAGAACAACTTAGATAAGAAAAAGATTATTTGGGGCTCACAGTTTCAGAGGTCTCAGTCCACTGTCAGTGGGCTGTTGCTCTGGGCCTTTGAGGTGAGGCAAAACATCGTGGTGGGTGTTACAAAGGAAAGCTGCTCATGACATCCAGGAAGCAAAGGGAAAAAGAGGGAAAAGGGTTGAGGAGAAGATGAATCCTTCCGGGGCACATGTCCAATGACCTACGTCGTCCAACTAGGAACTACGTCCCAATAGTTCATTCAGTCATCAATAGATTAACCCATTAAGTGGATTAATCCACTGATGAGGTCAGAGGTCCCATGATTCCATCATTTCCTAAAAGCCCCACCTCTTCTACTGCATTGGGGACCATGCTTTCAATATATGATCTTTTGGGGGACATTCCAGATCCAAATCCCACACAACCTTAGCTTCCCAAGCTTCCCATAGACACTCTGGCAAAAGGAGATTAGATTGAGTGAGGGCACATTGTCATTCACTAGGGTGCATCTTAATGCACTACCTATGTCTGAAGTGAACACACCTGCTGTGGGGTTGGAGAATGACATGGGGGTTCTGATGGTGTCTAGAGGGACACCTAGACCCTCTAGAAAGAGACCACCCAGCCTCCCTTTTTAGTGATATCATAAAATACTCATTGGGCATCTATTTCCAGAGAATCACCTTCCTCAGAAACATGGAAGTTATTAGTCCCCAGTGCCCATTTTAAAAGAAGAAACCAAGTCTTAAAGATGTTGGTGAGAGAGACAGAGAGAGCCTCACAGAAGATCTTCTGCTTCTACTAAGGATCTACAGCACAAGGTCAGAGGGGGCACTGGGATGGGTATTCATGCCTTCTACTTACTGAGCCCAGGGAAGGAGAGGTGAGGCTGGGTGTGGGTTGTACAGGCTGGGGTGGTCCCTATGTCACTTCTGTTCTGAGTGATATAGACACCAGGGTGGCAGAGGTAACAGGGACAAGAATATTACCCTGACTGAATGTCACGGCATCAGGGTCAGCCCCTGTCCCTCTCTTCAGCTCCTTTTTCTTGTTTTAAGCCACCTAATACCATGGATACATAATAACATGGACATCTGTGAAAAGGGTCAGACAAGGGGAAGTTACTATGATGATTGTCCTAGAAGCAATTTCAGGACTCATTTAAAGAGCAAAGTTTCCTGTTGAGATTCTCTTGCCTGAAGGTAGGTGTGATGGACCAGCATCCTATTACCCAGTCCTAAATTAGGACTCATTTGTCTTCTCCAGTCTTCTAAGAACATCCCAGCCACCCAGAACCTCCAATGCACAACCCATGTGGTCCCTTTTGGATTGACTCTATGCTAATGTGGCAGCTGGGGAGGACATGGTATGACCTCCATTGTGCATGCATGTAGGACTCAGAACTAAAACCAGGACTTCCTAGTCCTTGGTTGTGTTGGATTTTAGCATGGTACATAGTGATAGAAAGTGATATGAGCAAGGGGTGGTGGTGCATGCCTGTAATCCCAGAAACTTAGGAGGCTGAGGCTGAAGTATCCAAAGTTCAAGGCCGGCCTCTGCAACTTAGTGAGACCCTGTCTCAAAGTAAAAAATAAAAAGGATTGGAGATGTAGCTCAGTGGTAGAGAACCCTGGGGTTCAATCCCAAGTACAAATAATTTTAAAAAAAAGAGAGAAAGAAAAGAAGAAGGAAAAAAAGTGTGTATATATAGTATTTAGCACTTTGTACAATGTGTAAAGCAACTATAGTTCTGTTTTCAAATGAGGAAGCTGAGACTCAGAAAGGTTATGTAACTACCCCAAGGTTGAATTACCATGAAGTGGCAAAGTCAAACTGCAAGTCCAGATCTGCTGCCTCCGAGTTCAGTGTTTTTCCTGCCTCCCAAGCTCCCTGAGGCTCATGTGAGGCCCTTATTCTAACGCACGTTTCCTACTCCTGACTGAAATCCTTTCCCACCGCATTAGTGTGGGGGATCTCTGAGCAATGTGGTAAGGTGTGGGGCAGGTCACCATGTCAGGGGGAGACTGTTCACATCAGCCAATGTGGCCAAAGAGGCATCAAGTTCAAAGTCACTGGACTGGACAGAGTGTTTATTTTTTGTCATTGCAGATGCTGGCAATTTCCAGAGCCAGGGCTGTCTGCTGGAGTCAAGAGGCTGGTCTTCATGAATTCATGAGCCTGTCACAGGTGCCCACCTCTTGCGCCTCCCCAAGCATTCAACATGACCACTTGGGGAAACTGAACTTATTTGTCTTGTCTTCTGATATTTTGAGGTCACATGTGAGGTGCCTGAGAATCTGGAACAAAGCATTTGAGATGTGGAAGTGAAAAAGTCCAGGAAGAAACTGCAGGCCAGTGTGGCTGTGTGCAGAGGGAGGTCTCTCTCTCAATCCCTTCTCTGTAGCTTTCCAAAAGTCCTGAGTGGGATTCTCTGGCCCTACGACCTACCAGCTCCCTGCCTTGGACTTTTTTTTTTTTTTAAATAAACAGAGGTATTAGAGGACTGGGCCATCCTAAGGGAGTGGTGAGTAGTCCTGCCTGAGCTCTTTGCAATCCGGGGCACTGTAGTACTCAGGGAAAGTCTAAGTCAGACTCTCTTAACCAGTGACTACCCTTGGAGTAGAGACATGGTCACCAACACCGTGTGGTGGAGGCCACTCAGCTTTATCTAGCCCACCACCAATGTGTGACTTGGTCTTGACCCTGGTAACGCTTCACCACAGAGAGACCTCCCAAATAGAAAGTGACTCCTCTGCTTATTTTTCCTAAGTGGCACAGTACAGTCAGCCCTCTGAATCCACAGATTCTGAGCCTGCAGATCCAACTGATCATGGATCCAACCAACTGTGGATTGAGGTATGAAAAAACCAAATCTGTGCTGACTATATACAGACTCTTTTCTTGTCATTATTTGCTAAACAATGCAGTATAACACCTATTTACATGGCATTTACATTGTTTTAGATACTATGAGCAATCTAGAGTTGTTTTAAAGTCTACAGGAAGATATGCTTAAGTTCTGTAGAATTGTAACATCATTTTATATATAAGGGACTTGAGCACCATGGCAGTCCTGTACCCAATCCCCTTTGGAAACCCAGAAATAAAAGTACAGGGACTCCTGTCTGTCATGGTAGCCTTTGGGGAAGGCTCATCATGCTCACTGGACACGGTGTCACTGGGAGCCAGAGCAGTGGGAAAAAAAAGAAACTGCAAAATTCCTCATGGCAGCTTGAGTAACTTGGGCCTTGATCTCAAGTACCTGGGAGACATCAGCTGGCAGCTCTTGAAATGAATTTATTAAATGGCAGAACTTTGCTATGGAGCAGGCAGCATTGTGAGCAGGATGTACAGCACTAACAGGAAACATAATTTTAGCCATTCCTTCATTCATTCTTTGGACAAGCCATCACTTTTGGCAGCCTGGGATTCCAGGAACTTTGGAGGCCACAATGATGACCTGGGGGTGAATCCATCTCCTGGAATTAGCAAACATGCCATGTGAGCACAGACATAAAAAATATATTTTTATATAAAAAATATAAAAATATGTATATATTTTTATTTACCTTTTGTGAACAAAACAAATTAAAACAAAAAACACCTTTAACTCAACAGGAATCACCCAGACCATTAGTAGGATCATAATATTTAGAATGAAGGGTGTGACGGCCCTGTTCCACTTGGGCTGGTGGAAGTGCACCTCTGGGGTGTTAGACCCCAAAGGCCAAAATTTAAAGAAAATGTTTGGGACACGGTGTTGTTGAGGGAAAAAGCACAGGAAAAGGCAGAAGTGACTTCTAAATTCCCTTTTAGTTCAGAGAGTTTGTGAAGCTATGCATTGCTATTTCCATTCCAAGAGGGCAATCGCCTGGGGAGATGGGGGTGCAAAGTTTTTCAGAACGCCAGGCTGGCATCAAAAACACTGGAACGGTCAAGTTCACAGAGTTAGTGCCTGAACTTGGCGATGCCAGGATCCTTTGTGAAGGGCATGCAAGGTCCTCCAAGGCTGATCATGCTAAGTCTATGCCCTTGACTCTAAAATAAGGATTAAAAAAAAATACCTCTATATCTTTCCCAGCAGAAGAGATCCAGGTAAAAGAGTAACATTAAGATGTCTGTGAACTGCAGAGTGGAGAGTAGCTAATCATCGTTACTTAAGCATCTCACCATCATGTCCCACTCCTTTGTGTCTCATGAGAAAAGTTACCACAAGGCAGTCCCTCAGCAGAGAACTCAGTGGAGAAACACAACATAAAACCCAGGAGTCTGACTCCCATTTTTCTTGAACTCCAGGGTAATTGTTTTCCTTTTGCCTTCAGACAATCTGAAGGCCTGCAGGGTTAAAAATGCATGGCCTGGGGGTAGTTCATTCCTAGAAGGGGGCTATCCAATCCAATCCACTTGGCACAAAGGGAGGAGCCTACAGCAATCAGGAGATGAAAAAATACAACTGCTGCTTGGTATTGATGTAGGGAACTGCCTAAAATCTATTGCTCCAGGGAAGTGCATAAAATCTGTTGGTCTCTGGAGCATTTTTGTAAGGCAAGAAGCGGCAAGGCACTGCTAAGAGATGGCATCTTTTTCTAGAAAGTCTGGCAGTGGGAAATGAGGCCAAGTTTGCAGGCTCCTGCACTTCCTCTTCCTTGTTTAAGTGCTCTTTATGACTGGCATGAGTGGCAGGGACTCATAAATACCATGTTGTCAGTTTCTGTGGGTAAGGACTGGGCCTGTGGGATGTGCCCCCAAAATGTCCTAGCAAAGGAAAGATTTCATATCTGTCAAAAATGGACTAAAGATGTCAAAATAGGAAATAGCATCTGTAAATATGAAATTCTGGGTGCATCATGACAAAATTCCTCAAGACAGAAAATAGAAAACAAAGAAAAATGGTAAGCATCAGCTTATGGAGACAACCACTGCTACTTCATTCCAGGACTTTCTCCTCTCCTCAGCAGGACACAACGGGGCCTATGACTAGGAATCTCAAAGATCAAAGTACCCATGGGTGCAGGGTGTCCTTCCACCATCTTGTCCACGCCTGCTCTTCTGCCTCATCTATCAGCACTTCTTCTTTTGAACTGCCATTCCTTACTGTGGCTATTCTAGTTTTGCTCTCTGACTCATTGCTGCTTCTCCCACTCGCCACCTTCCAAGACTATCTGTTGTAATTCTTGCCGCCTATAGTGCCCAGTGTGAATATGATGGATTCCCAGTTTTCCAGCCCAAACCAGCTTCCTCTTTCTATGTATGCACCACACTTCCTATGCACTTACACCTTATTTTATTTGTACTCTCTTCTCCTCTATAAAATGTTAAACTCTTGAAGGGCAAAGCCCATGTTGTACTTATCTTTGCAACTCCCAAAGTGGTTATCATGATGTCTTTTATTTAGTAAGGCCCTCAACAAATTCTGGACTAACCAAATGGAATCATCAAAATCCTCCCTTCATGTGATCCTACCTATTTTTAAAAAGCTCCTTAACCTAGAATGTCCCACAAGGTGATATGCTTTCATCTTCAATGGCTATCAGTATTTAGAGGGAAAGCGTTTCATTTCTTGCAAATGGCTTTCTCAAAACCTTTCAGTTGTGAAACATGTAGAGTAACAATGTTCTTTCCTTCCTATCATCTCAGTAGATTATCTGATTATCTTCAGATTTTACTCTCACCCCTAATTAAATACTGGCTCCCAGGATAATCAAGCTCAAGGATGAAAGAACCTATTCCAACAGAGTCCCTCTGTCCTATCCCACTTAGGAGTGGGGAGGCCTGTGGGTGATGTGTTTTGCCCACAGTGGAATCTCCATTGCTGCTCTCCCTAAATCAAAGAAGGGACACTCACACTGGTGGTCACCATCCATAGGCAGCCTGGGAAATCTTGTTACAAATGGGAGTCAGATTGTAAATTTGTGTCTAGATGAAATAAAGATTTCAACTCTAACTGTGCTTGAATAACTTGTCAATATGACAGTTTTGCAAAGTGCATGATACTGTGGTGATGAAGTCACACATCAGTAAGTCTTGCTATGCATGTTGCTTGGATTTTCCTGTCTGACTGTAGGGCATGTGGCTGCCAGAGATGTTTCCCATATCTCTGGGAACCTTTCTCTCTCAGCGAGAGTTAAACAGAAAAAAAAAAATCACCCCTATATGATCCAAATACTGAGCATCAGCTTTGGCACTATGTTTCTGAAAAAGGGCTTTACCTTCAGGCCAACTTTAGAAGGGTCATATGGGAGAAAATGGGGTGAGATGCCTAAAGATGAGTAATGATAGCAGCAGTAAATTGAGGATTTGTCCAACTTTCTATCTACCCAAAAGCATATAAAGACACTCTGAGTTAGTTATGGAAACATTTTTACCTGGGGAAGGATGGTGACAGCTTCCTGGGATGTAGGAGTTTTGATTCAAGGGAGGTCAGAGGTTCCTTCTAAATGACAGACGTATTAGTTAGCATTCCAATGCTGTAACAAAATATCTAAGAAAAACAAACTTAAAGGAAGAAAGTTTTATTTTGGCTCATGATTTCAGAGGTTTTACTTCATAGCCAACTGGTTCCATTGTGTTTAGTTCTGTGTTGAAGCAGAATATCAGTATGGTGGAGCAGAGCTGCTCACCTCATGGCAGTGGGGAAGCAGAGATGAGAGACACAGAAAGGAGTTAGGGACAAATATGCCATTCTAGGACATGCCAGCAATGACTACTTCCTCCAACTAGGCTCCACTTCCTCCAGTTTCTACCACCTCCAAATAGTCCATTCAATTATGAACCCATCAATGATCCATTAATGAGATCAGAGCCCTCATGAGCCACCCACTTCCCCAAATCCCCTCCTCTGAACATTGTTACATTAGGGACCAAACACATGAGCCTTTGTGGGACATTCCAGATCTAAACCATAACAACAGAGATTCACTGTCTCTGTACTTGCTCCATTTTGCTTAAAAGCATTCTAAATTCTTCAAAGACAAAAAGAAATTGTGCTCTTCAAATTTACTCCATTTTTATTACAGTAGTATATGTACAAAATTTGAAAATGCTCTCATTTGTCCCATTCATATGACAGTTCCCTTCTTTCCATCCTCCCTATATAGCTATATAAAAAATGTGTTGGATCAATACTTAATGTTTATTATTATTAAGACTCAATAAATAGTGTTCATAGCTGAATCAAGTTAGTGCATGATAAATATATTTTCTTCCCTTTATACATATTCATATTTAGTGAGGTTAACAATTTTCTCATTTACCTAGTTCTCTGTGCATCTATTATTGATTCATTATGGAAATCTTCAAAACCATAAATCTCCTTTTAACATCATCACTGGCAACTTGATCTACCCCTTTGTCTCCTCTGTACTGCCTGTCCTCAGGGCTGGCTGGGCATATGTCTTCTGAGGTGGTCCTTCCTCATCATGTAAGCAAGCCTCTTTGCTTCTCACCTGTATTGGGGTCCATACATCTGGGATTTCTTGTATCCCATTTTCTGGGTTTGGCAGATGCATCTTCTAGTAATTTCCTAAAAGAGATAATATTTGAATCTTGTATCTCTGAAATTGTCTTTAATCTACCTGCACATTGTTGAGGGTTTAAATTATGCATAGAATCAGTTTTCCTCACAATATCAATTTAGAATTCCTCCAGTAGTTTTTGTAGTATCTTGTGTTGCTCCTGGGGATTCAGAAGCCCTTTGAGTTGGTAATTGTTCCTAATAATTTGTGTGCAATATATATCTCTTGCTTTATCTCCAATATTTGGAATTTCATAAAATTTCTTTGAAGTGGGTGTTTTAATCTTTTTGGTTGTTGTTCTGGGTTCTTAGTGGACCCTTTCAATGTAGAATTCATGGATTTTAGTTCTGAGGATGACAACATTTGTTCCCTTGTCTTTCCAGTAATTCTGGAACTTGTAAGGACTATACTGGGTCCTCCAGGAAGCAGGTGCCAGAGCAGGATGAAAGGACTTTGTGAAGGAGGATGACTGTGACTGGATACTGGGTGGGACCTAGGAAACATTGGGGAATGGGGCAGCAAGTCTGAATCCTATGAAAAAGAGAGGGAAGGGAGGAAGGTTGGAGGGAATACCTTCTAGTAGATTGCCATCCCTGAGCTAAATTAAACTGTCTGATAGTCTCATCTCTCCCAGAAACTGGCCTAACATGGTCCCCCTGCCTCACTCAGTGGCTGGGAGCAGCCTACAGGAGTATGATCTTGGAAAAGAGGCTGAGAAGGGTTCCACTGGTTCCAGTTTGAGGTCTGCCTTTATCTGGATGCTAAGTGTCTCCCATTTATCTTATTCTTTCTGTATCCCCTCTTTCTTATCATTGGTCCTTAAAAAAGAATCCTGGAAAGTTTCTAGGCTTTTTACAATTATTTGTTTCTATTCTTTCCCATTTTGTAAATCTTTTTTTTTCCCTAGCTTCCTGTTCTTGTTTCATGACTATAATATCATCTCTTCTGTGGAAAGATGTGTGGGTTTTAAACAATTCATTTTACTACCTGATTTGTTTCTGTTTACTCCAGATTCCCTTTATATGTTTTTCTGGATTTTTCTCTTTCATGTCCTTTCCTCAATTGCCTAATGACCCTTGACTGCCTGCCATTTAAGAGAATGGCACCAACAAGCTCATTGGTAGTGGTGAGAGAGAGAGAGAGAGAGAGGCTACAGTTGATCTTGCCAGAAGGAGGGACCTTCAGGTATCAGAGGTCTTTCCTCTCTACCCTTTGAGTTTTCCCAGAGAGAACTTAGCCCTCCTCCTGCATGGCAATGGTCAGGCACCTACCTGAGGGCTGAATAGAAGAAAGGAGCTCTGAGTATCCCATTTAAGGGGTTCAGATTTTTACACAACCACCTTTGGTTTGCATTATAGTGCCTTGTCACCCCCACCCTAAGCTATTTTTGAAGTACTCAAATTCACACCCTTTCAGATTTTCTCCAGAGTAAACTTCAAATTTTGGAAATCTGTTTCCTATGAAGAATTTCAACTAACTTTCCTGTTTCCAGCCCAACACATCAGTCCTGGCTTCAGAGGTGCCTGGTCCCTTCTAATCCCCTGCTTTTAAGAGCTTGCAGCTTGCTCTTGGCGTATCTCTCCCTCCATGGGCCCTGGGTTCAGTTTTTGCCGCTCTGATCTCTTTAGTTGTTTTCCAGTTTCCTAAATTTTGAAAAATCCCTTGACTGCTGTTGTCTCTTTTCATACTTTCTTTTTTGCATATTTTTTCTATTTTGGGTTCCTTTCCTCCCATTTTTGTTGAAGAGCAAAAATAAATATTTACTTAGTCCCCCAAGTTTTATCTTAAGATTCTTTCAAAATTTTTTTCCTGATTCCCAAAATGATGAGCCCAGGACTTTGTATAGAAAATATATGTTTCCACAAAATCTACAGTTAACATTGTTTTTTTAATTAACTGGAGCAGAAGCAGGAAAAATACTCAGATCTTTCTTCCTTCACTCATGGGATATCTTGTTCAGCTTGTCTATAATCACCGCTGTGAGGAAATGTTTGAGGAATACTTCCGTATCACCATTAGGCTTGAATTTGAACCCCAGCTCAATCACACACTGAATATGTACCCAGAAGCAAATTTTATGTTCACTCCTGTTTGCACATTGGTTAAAATCCTGCACATTTCAAAAGTGACTAGGATGAACCATTATGCTGTATGTAAATTCCTAGCACAGACCTGGAGCTCACTCCTTATAAATTTTTCCCCTTCCTCTTTCAGAACAGGAAGAACTTGCAGCTTTGCTAGGATTGGCTGTTCTCACCTGGGTTGTCCACCATACATCTCTCACTCCCCAAGACCCAGAATTTGATTCTGCTTTGCAAAGTCCTGCCTGCTTTCCCTGCCCTCTCCCCCTGCACCTGCTCCAGGGGTCTTGTCCCCTAGAACCTGACACATATTCTCTTCATTGTATGTTTAGAAATGTCATGTTTTCCCCCAAATCAGACAGGCACTTCTAAGCCTTTTGGTTTATCAAAATGATTCCTGTAGGAATTTTTGTCATGAATAAAACAATATTTTTTGAAATGTTGCAAAATTCTTTAAGGAAAATAAAGAAAGCCACTCCCCCTACCTTAATCCCCCTACCTTCACCTCATGCGGAGGTGAAGAGACTCCAGGTGGATGCATAGGGATTCTCTCCCTGTCAGCATGCCAGTGTGGCCTGCCACTGGGGGACCAGGACGACTGGGGGAAGGGAAAGGGAGAGGTGGAGGGGAAGAAGAGAGCCTTGTCCCTCACTTTGCCACCAAGGGCTGCTCCAGAAAGGACCCAGGTTTTCTCTTTGACCATAGAGGTGATAAAGCAGCACACAGGTTGGAACCTGAACAGATTTTCTCCATGAACACACAGGTAAGAGGAAAGATGAAGAAAACAATCACACTGGTTTTACAAAAGGCGAAACTATCCTTCAGGTCAAATGTCTTCACTTGCTCATTATCACCAAGATTTGTGGAATAGAAAGAATGCATCAGCCCTGCCCTCCTGGTTGCCTAGCAACAGGCCTCTTTTTTTTTTTTTTCATTCCTGGCAGGTACAAAAGGGACTAGTTTTGAAGTGGTGGGGGGAGCATGTAGTAGGTGGGGGACAGAGGTAAGATCACTCCCTGGACTGCATAATAATGAGATATTCAGATATCATTGTGCAAGACGTACCTGTGTTGCAAATGAATAAGGCGGTTCCAAAAGCATTTATCTTCCTCATTTGGTATCTATTCTGTACTGCCTCTGAGAAGTAAGGTTTACATTTGAGAGGTTGCTGTTTGTATGTGTATTTGCACATCCACAGTCATCAGCTGGATAACTGGGAGGATAAAAAGATCCCCACAGGTCACACTGGTAAGGGGAGGCAGGCAATCTAACTCCTTAGACTGCTGCTCTGGATATTAGATCATGAAAATCTTTTCCTGAGATATTCTGTGGGATCCCAATATCTGTTCCACCAACCTCTATGACAGTTCCCATCTGGTCTGAATAACTCAATAAGCCAGTCTAGGTCCTACAAGAAGGAGACATAAAGACAGCATTAAAAGTGCAAAGATTAAGGGCAGATGCCCAGGTGAGAGAAACTGGCAGGAAGCCAGAAGTAAATGTCACCCAGGTCTGACCTTGGATGAAGGAGAGAGGGAGAGCAGGTTGCAGGAATGTTCTAGACCTCTGGTGAGTCTAAGGAAGATTTCACTTCCCCTGCAGAAGTTCTCTAGCCTAAGTCACCCTTAAAGAGCCCACCTCTCATGGAAGTGACTAGCTTAGCATCCTTCTGTGCTTGGTCACTTCAGAGTACCATAGCTAGGACCCTTGAGCACTTGCTCTCCTTGCATTTGGAGGTCTGCAGGGTGTATTCTGGTGGCCCCCACACCCAGACTGGGGAGGGGAACTGCTTGGAGAGGGAGTGGGGTTAATCTGGGGTTTGGGAGTATCCCACTGGGTGGATTTGAGAGACCTGGAAAGGTAAGTAGAGAGTCATGCAGTGGGGTTTGCAAAAGGAAGTACTTTTGGAGAAAGGAATAAACCTAGGGACAGGCAGTAATGGTTGGGAACTGGCGTTTCCAGGAGGAGGACTTCCATGGAAAATAAAGTTGATATTTAGCACAAGCTTTGAATCTCTTTTCTTGTTGCTGCTTCCTAGTAAGTTCTCTTGTAATCAATCAAACTTCACATGGGAAATGTTACTGTAGTGGTTTTTCTTCCACTTATTTCTTAGTTTGTGCTGCTATAATAACATATGTGAGACTGAAAAATTTGTTAAACAATAGAAATTTATTTCTCTCTGTTTTATAGACTGGAAAGTTCTAGAGGCTGGGAAGTCCAAGATCAAGGCAATTTCAGATTCTATGTTTGGTGAGCACTCAGTCTCTGTTTCAAGATGGTACCTTGAACACTGAGTTTTCACATGGCATAAGGCAGGGATGAGTGCTGTGTTTTTACAGCAGAAGGTAGTGAACTTACTCCATCAAAAACATTTTATAAGGGTCCTAATATCATCCTTGAGGGCTGTTCTCTCTTGACTTATTTACCTCCCAAAGGCCTTACAAGTTTTACATTGTCAGTTGTTTCAACATTGAGACCATAGCAACCTACTATATATATTTTTTTCTTCTCTTTAACAACTGGCTATATTTATAAGTGTTTGAAACTAGAATCTTTTTCTCCATGTAATTTTGCATCAATTTCCATTTTAACCTCACTGTGAACATCATGATGTATCCTTTCTCCTGTGGAAGGCAGTGGTGTCAGAATCCTCAGCATTTGGTCTCCAAGCTACATTGCCACTTGGATGTTTCTCCTGCTCTTTGCATCATTTCCCACTCTCAAGTAAAGGCTGATATCTCCCATCATCAGAGAGGAAAAGAATGCCTGCCCACCATATTTACCCACTGCTGCTGCTGCATGTGAAATGGCAGCTTCCTACGGAATATGTTCAGATGCTCTGGAGGGTGACCAGTCCTGAAGCACGCTGGTTTGTAGAGGACATTGTGGCCTGGGGAACAGTGGGAAGAGAGCCATTCAGAAGGGATAGAAGATGAAAACTCCTTTGTCCCAGTAGGAACTATGGGGAGATGACTCTAGGGAGTGGAGCACATTCAGTTTCAGCAATGTTTACTGACGGCAGGTGCACTGCCCACATCATCTCACTTACCTCCCACCAAGACTTCCCAGACTAGGCAAGAAGCTAGGTAATTTGCTCTGGGTAATACAGTTGGTGGAACAGGGTCTCAACCCTGCCTGTCTACTGCAAAACCTGTGTTACAAAATTCTACATTGTCCTATGACTGGAGTGACAAATGAAGGGCCAGTGGAGGCTAGGTCAGCCTGGCATTCTGGGATTGTTGACTTAGTCCCCAGGCAGGTAAGACTTTGGAGGGCTCCTCGAGGGCCCCTGGTTCCTCACTTTGGAGCATCTAGCCCCTTGTGCGCATGTGCCCAATCTCAGGCATTTGATTTAGTCCCTATGAGCATGAGTGCAATGTCCCCCTGGTTCCGAACCTTGGCTCCATAAACAAATCTTTCTTAATTAGACTTGGCAGCTCAACACCTTTGGTGTATCTAGCCCATTTAACTGCCACGCCTACTCTTGTTGGATCCGGTTATAAAGTAAACTATGTTCTTTGAGAGCTGTTGAATACAGATGAGTCAACAGCCGGTCTGAGCTGACCCACAGACTCATAAAAACCAACAGGGCTCCAAGTACCCTCACCTGGGGCACCCAAACTCTTGGATCAAAAGTTCAAGAACTTGCTCACGTCAAGGATCTGGCTGCTTCCTTGGGGATCAAGAAAATGAGGTTTTGTCTCTACATTTGCACTGGCAATCCACAAGGTAAGGGGAGAAATGCCTCATTGTCTCTTTACAGAAAACAGGAGTTAATTCTTGGGGAAACTTAGTCCTGTTTTCCTCATCTCAAATCTAGACAGACTTGTCCATCCACTTCCAGGGGATAAATGCAAGGTTTTAATTCATTCACTGGATGCTCCTGATCTGCTGATTACACGTGATTATTAGCTCTGAGCTGTACCCTGCCTTCCCTGGGCCATTTCACAGACCTGCAGATGGAAGGAAATTAAAATCTTTGGTTGCAACACACTTGGTTCTAAAGTCTTCTTGCAGCAGCGATGTGTATAGCTCTTCTATGTCTGATGGAGTACTTCCAGCATCTCTTGATCCGTATTCATCTTTATAGTAGAGAATAAAAGAGTTAGTGGGGTCTAACATGGAGTTTTATCTGGAAAAGGCAAGTTAGTAAAACATTTGTTTACCTTCACTTCATTTCCTGACAGCACTTATAGAATTTTACACCATTTCAAGTGAATGCGGTTGGATTTCTCAACACTTTTTCAGCTTCCTAAATATTGTTGTGACAAATGCTTTGTGACAATGATGTCAACTATTTCCCTATGTTCTGACAGGCATGGAGCTCCTTTTACAAATATCTATATCTTATAGATAGGGCACAGTTGCTCAAAAGAAGTTCATCTTTTGCATTTGGCAAATTAGAAAATCTGCAACTTTTTCAATTAGAGAAAATGGAGTTTCTCCCTTTGGTTGGGCATAGAAAATGGACCAAAATATAGTGGTTGGGTAAACAAGAGTTTGCAAGACACTTTTGTGTTGGAGGGGCAGTCCAGTCTCTGAGGGTTCCCTTTGGCCAAGGGCTCTACTTGCATTTCATTCCTCTACAGTGTTTTGTGTAAATATATTCTAAGTCAACTTCGGCTTTTAAAAGTCTAGTGGAGATGAGAGAACCTGGAAAAGTATGGCCATCAGAAAAGTCTTTTCTCTCTTGTGTTTGATAACCAGTTGTGAAGGTGAATTTCTTTCTGCTTAAGGAAGCAAACCAAGTTTAAGTGCAAGGCTGAACTTAAAAAGAACCAGAGTATATGGCCTGTTTGTGAAGGGTTTTTGGAACTTTGAATCTATTGGTAGCTTTTGGGTTGCTCTGAGTTTCTAAGGAATTTTAACATAAGTTGCTTATAATAGCCAAGCATGCTTTCCTCTGGAGACCTGAGACTCAAAATTCTCCATGCATGACCCTTTACTTTTCTCTGCAAGACATTTTTCTGTACTAGGTCACAAACATACCCTGGACCTTTTCACGGCTCAGGGATTTCCCAAGGATTCAGCTGTGACTCACATGCTTTGCCTTTTCCTTGCCCTGTGGCATCCATGGATTGATGGCTTCCTAATTCCTTCTCATGGACTTCTCATAGAGCCCTCTCTGGAGCTGTTTATAGTCTCAGCAGCTTGATCCTGGATTTAACCCTCATTTAACTCCTCTTTGCTGTGCAATGTAAAATGCTGATGATGGCTATTGTCTTTCTTTTCTTCATTTTTGTCCTTCTCATTCATATTAATATTATGCATACTTTTTCCTTTGTTTGCCTTCTGACAAGCTTATAATAAACAAACACAATGTTCTGGGAGCTATTCTAGGTCCTAGGAAACTGAATGGCCTGACAAATGCTTTTAATTGCTCACTGTGCTTTGCTGTGGTGACCTGGCACTTGAAGTTGAGGGGTATGTGCCTGAAGGCTGTGATGATGAGGGACTGCTACACAAGAGTGTAGTGGAGGGATAATTGCTAAATGCACAGGGCAGAGCCTTGTACTTGGCCTATAGAAGACTTCATGGACTCATGATCCTAAAAGCCCTGGGCAGGCAGGATGGTACCCAGTGGGGTCAGGAGTGGGTGATGAGCACACACAAAGTGCAGGTGATAAAGGGCCCATGTGTGACACAGAGGAGCTCAGCAGTATCTGGGAGGCAGTGGGGGACCATGGTAAGATCCCAGTTACATGGTGGCAAGTTTGCTCATCTGTGAAATGCAAGGTGGGCTGAGTGGGGTTAGACCGTTGCCAGGGAGACCAGGCAGAAGATCGCCAAGAGGTAAAGATCTAGCTGCTGATTGGCTGTGGAAGGGGACAGGTGAGGATAAAGTGGAGCCTGAGATGTGGCAATGTCCCCAGTGTTCACATGATGAATGTACTTTGAATGGCAAAGAGCGTTTTCTTTTCATTTAACCCTCACGTGACCATGGTGCCCTCAGAGAGAGAAGTTAGTATGCTCCCTAGAAGTTACCATAGTGAGGGTTATGTAGGGAAGGGAACTGGCTTCTCAAATGCCTCCTCCTCTTTTCCACACCAATGAAATGCACTCACGTTGCAGGGTAAGGTGAGGCTTCAGCACAGTGACATGTCTCAGCCTGAGTCTTTTACCCCTCGGCGCTTGGGTCTTACATGAGGCATTGTCTTGGATCTGTAGTCAATCTTATTTATGAATCTATGCTAAACCACGTGTCACCCCTGCTGTAGGAGTCAGGGCAAAGAACGTGTTGCTCCTTAATATGGTAGGCTAGAGCCAAAATAGTCAGCAATAATAACTGAGTTGCTGAAAGCAGAACCCCTGTAAACTGTGTCTGCTCCTACCATTCAGTGCCCGGTTGTTGCCCTGCCTAAGGTCAGACTCTGGGCTGATTCTTTCCTGGGGATCACTGAGAAGCCACACTTCTCAGTCCCCTTCAGCAGGGAGGCAAAGGGAAATTGATTCTGCCTTCTGAATTTTCCTCACCTGGCTGCAAGGAACCTGATGGTGCTCATGAGGCAGGCCCATGAACCTGGAGGCTGCCGCACCGGGGGAACATGGTCTCGGCAATTCCTGACCTTTGAGACGGAGGGGATCATCTTCTTGGGATACATAACACTCCCTCAGTGTGCCCTGTTTGAGAGACTCTGGCCCAAGACACACAGGTAGTACATGGAAGAGCTGGGATTCAGACTTGGATCTATTGACTCAATCCATCCCTTCTTCCTTCACTTTGCAAGTGAGGTTATAGGCCTTGAAATACATGGTGAGGTCCTCCAGTTCAGAGTGTCTGGAAAAATCACCGTAGTTTAATTCCTGACTGACTTCAGGCTAGCCACTGTAAGGCAACCTTTGTCCCTAGAGCTTAACTGACTTTTGAGGTTCTGACAGTGACACAGAATGATTCCAGCATAGGTTATGTAAAGCCCGAGGAGAATATGCCAGAATAAGCATCATGTGGCTAGCTCAAGTCACTACTGAATGAATTATTAGCATAGAGATCAATAGATTCCCCCAATAGCTAATTTGGGATCATTGGACAGGATGATTGACTTTAATGGCTTCTTTGGATATTCACTGCCTTCTCTTTTTCCCTATATTGGCTGGGCTTTTTCAGAGGTAGAAGTGATAGGGTAACAAAGCATAGGGACCATATAACCTTCATTTAAAAAACTAGATTTATTTTTACAAATAAGAAGACCATTTCTACTTTACAGATTGGGTAAAGAAAGTACAAAACTCTGCGGGTGTAGCTCAAGCCAAAGGTGAAGAGAAAAGAAGCCTAGGTCTTTCCAGTTTCTGCCTCCTGGAATAGAAACGATTCATGAATGATATTAGCTCTGCTCTGAAAGAGCGAAATGGATGGCTGGATTTTGTGTTTCAGAAATCTTCATGAATAAATAGGAATGTGGAAATTGGGTAAACAAAACAGAATTCAAAGAAATAAGAATCTTCATTTAAAAAAATGCAGAGAATTTATGTGGAAATGTGTGGAAGGTAGATCCTTAGAAAAGTTAATGGTAAACAAAAAGTAATCTTTAGGGTAAAGAGGGCCAAGGGGTCCTAGGAGTGCTGGGTGCACCTGCTCCAGCTAGGATGGTCCTAAGCCATCCTTGCTGAGATGTTCAGGGAGAGTATTGAGCATCTTTCCATTGCCTTGTCAGAATCTTCTAACAAAGAAGAAAAGGAACAATGCACACACACAGAGATACACAAACACACACACTACTCCTAAATTATTTTCAAACAAAAAGGAAGAAGAAACCCACTATGGTGCAGAAAATAGACAACTTGAAAAGAATTAAGAATCCAAAGATGCTCTGCCTCAAGTAGCTCAAAAACTCCTATAAGAGCTATAGCTGTCAAATACAAAACCCAACCCAACATCATCTCATTAAAAAAACATAGCACTGAAACGCTCATTTTAAACAATCATGGAGTCCCCCTCATCCATTGTACAAAGGAAGAAAACAGAGGCCCATAGAAGACAGTTACTTGCTCAAAGATCTGAATCTGAATTAACATTTCTCCCAACAACATGCCCTTACTCAAAGGAGTTTGTTGTTATTTTCCTGAAATGGTTTCCCAGGATGCAACAGAATCCATCTTGGCCCGTGTGCATCTGCCCTGTGCTGTGTTCTGTGGGTAGGGTGCTTTGTCAACATTACTTTCTGGTTAGATACATGTGAACCATCTTTACTTCTAAGAGAAGATTCTTTCTGAATATTCTGAAATACAAGCCAGAATTTTCCATCTAGTCAGAAATTTCCAGTGTCCATGACTTTTCATCTCCATTTGCACAAACTTGTTTTTTTGGCTTAGATTCAGGAATTGTAGTTACTGGGATATGTCAATATGCAACTTTATCCTCTGAGAGATGATTTAAATATACAACACAACCCAGCTGAAAGCAACAGGTTAATATGGTCTTTGCAGAATTAGAACAACCAAAGTTCTCAGGTGACTACCCCTAAGGGAAGTCTCATGGTTCGTTACCCTTGATGAAATTCTTGGGAGCTTTCTGGCTCTTTCCAGATCTGCCATTTGTCCTTGGGAAGCCCAACAGAACTTGGTAACTATGAATTACTGCTGTTAGCTTCTCACAGGAAAAGTCTCCATGATGAGATATTCAGGGAGATAAGAGTGACCCCCGTCCCATGCTTGGAGGCACAGTCAACCATTTCAGGGTCCTGGGTATTTTGATGCTATTAGGGGGTTGGACTGCTGATGAATTATGCATG